CTTTTATCTGTATTTGGGATTCCTCCAATCCTAGCTGTTTGTTTTTTACTGCAGTTTCAAAATTAGCTCCGTTTTGGCAGTTGATGAAATTTTCTCACTTTTCTTCCATTGTATCTCAATGGGAGCCCGTTGGGACAGTCTGGACTCTGGGCCCGATTGTGAGAAAACCGTACGTCCGAGGTCTAAAGCGGGCACATTGACCAAAAGAGGGCGCCCACAGCTACGTTTTGAGGCCTTTTTGGTCCCAATCGGCCCCACGGTTTGGTCGTGAGAGGCGGGAGTCTGATTATTTTTTGTAAATATCCCCACAGGAAAGTCACAGCCTTTGATGATGTCACCAGAGTGGAGGGCAGATTTGGGGATTTTTACAGATTTTAGCCAAAATGTTTACAGCGATTGCAGCCAAACGGTGTGAGATCAGGCCTCGTGGCTCCAATATGTCGAAGGTCCGTCTTTTGTGACCCGTTTGGTGCTTGAATGAGGTTTATTGGAGGTTGTGGTGCCGAGTATTTGGGCCCAGAAGCTGCCTAGGTTTCGGGCCCGTTTTCGGCCTTCACATTCATTTGCTATGGGACGGCGTTTAACCTTTTCCGCATTTATTCGAAAACGGCAGGACTAATGAGAAAGAAATATACAACAAATCATCCCGTGGTTGGTGGAAACAAGTGTGTCATTTTTTGGCCCAATCCGTCAAACCTTGTGGGACTAGTTAGCATCTAAAATTAGAACTCAATTAGCAATCATGGCCCGGAATTGGGCTGAAAAAAAACAAGAACTGGGCTGAAACAGAGCCAGAACAGGGCAGAAAATGGGCCACAACAGGGCCGTTGCTTCATCAGCTGCACTGACACCACAGCTGAGTGAACTTTGAGTCTGAGGGCTGTAAACCTTACAGGACACACCCTGCCTCTGGAGAAACCTGTGGGGTCGGAGTTCAGACTGAAGTGGATAATGATCGATGACTTATTGTGCCTGGTATGACTAAGCAATAATTGGTAACTAATCCCATGCTGGTCAGTGAGAGAAATGGAGTCAGAATGGGTCATTTGATCATTACAACCTGCCTTAGGGCAACAGGAACAGAACTGGGCCAAAAGAGGGCCAGGAATGGACCAGAAATGGGCCATAATAGGGCCTGAACAGGGCCATAACTGGGCCATAACTGGGCCATAATAGAGCCATTGCTACTGCAGCTGCACTGACACCACAGATGAGTGGACTTTGAGTCTGAGGGCTGTAAACCCAACAGGACACACCCTGCCTCTGCAGAAACCTGTTGGCTCCTCTGTCCCGCCCCCCCACTGAGCTCTCATAAGGAAGCGTGTGACGGGAAAGCCTCATTTCCTGCTTCAGCTTGTCAGTCTGTCGTCTTTCGGAGCTCACGGATCGGTTCTGTTCAGGGGAAAGTTGAACTGTTTAACAGTTCCTGACAGCAGAAATGGCTCAGAAAGGAGTTCAGCTGGACACAGAAACCTTCTCCTGCTCCATCTGCCTGGAGGTCCTGAAGGACCCGGTGACTATTCCCTGTGGACACAGCTACTGCCTAAGATGCATCAAAGCCCACTTTGATGGAGAGGATCAGAAGGGACTTCACAG